ATCCAAATGGAATTACATGTCTTGCCAAATCTTGTTGGTACTTTAATGAACTGTTCAAGCCCTAAGTTTATAGACATTGCTTTCTGGAAGTTTTATCAGCACAATTCATATTGATATCACCAAGAATCACAAACTCTTTTGATTTTATGCCTTTTATAATGTCAGTGAGCTGCGCTAAATATTTAGTTGAATTAACACTTGGACGTTTATATGTGACAACAACCGTTACTGAAAGGTGATTTGTAAGCTTGATTTCTAATTGCAGAGATTCAGACTCAGTTGACAATTCTATTATAGGATGTGAGTATTTCTTGTGAACATAAASTGCAACACCACCTCCAAGCCTATCAGTACGGTCTCTACGATACAATGAATCATTTTCAACTGAAAGAAATGAATTTGGTATAGCAGGAGTCAGCCATGATTCTGATATAACCATAACATATGCTTGTGTCTGAGCAAGTATTACTTTGAATTCATCCAGTTTAGGTACAAGACTTCTCTGATTTAATGACAGATTTTAAAGCCTCTAATTTTACCTCGTTGATTTAGCGTCCCTGGATTTTTTTAGACAGGAAAATCACTTTTACTTTCTTACTGATGTAGTGTTCAGACTTGACATAACAGGAGGTTGTCTAACCTTTTCAGGATATAATATAGATCCCTGTATAGACTGTAATTGAGTTGGATTTATAGAAGATACACCTGTGCACAAACCCAGGTCAAGATAATTATTAAAAACATATGTATAAAATTAGGTTAATATCTCATAATGCAACTGTACATTTGAAATTTACAGTACAGCTATGCACGTGATCCAGCGGTCCAATTAAATTTGATCTTCTTTCCAGAGACCGTTCTGTTCACAGCAAAGAGCTGTATTTTCAGTTCACAGCAAAGAGCTGTATTTTCAAAACCCAGCCCCCTTACTGTATAATCATCTGTAGTTTTTACAGTAATTTGTTACTGTACCTGTGTCCACCCCTAAAAATCCATAACCTCCTCGTCTTCTAATTACATTTCCATCTGAACCGTTCACATACCAGTTTATGCCAATATCCGCCAATGCAAAGTCCAAAAAAATTGTCAAAAATCCAAAAATCCATTAAAATTGTTTTAAATTCCGCGCAAACCTCTCCGCCAACCAAAAACCGGCATCTCCAAACTGTATATCCGAAACTCAGCTTTCACTCATAAGTCTCAGCGTAGGTCAGCTGGTGAAAGAGCCTTAAAGCCTTAGCAGATCACCAGGTAAATCCCAGGCAGGTGTGAACAATCAAGATCAGAACACAAATTAAGAAAAGGAACACAGGAAAGGACTGATTCTTCACAAGGATCAAAAGTTCCCAAAGCCATGACATCATCATGATCAGGGTTTCCCAATTTGTTTAAAAACATTGTAATATTATTGTTAAGTTGCATCTTTGTGTAAAATGTGTTGCATAACAGCATCAACTGTGTTGAACCAGAATTAATAAATTAGATGGAGCCAGATATCTTTACACTGTATCTATATATTCTTAAGGACACATTGAACATTCTCTCTCTCTCTCAAGGCCAATAATATGTGAAAAAACAAATTCTCAACATGGGTGACGTAGCATTCTCCTGAACAGTGGACTTATTCCAAAAGAGTGAAAATAAATTACTTCTTTTCAGTTAAAACAACAATCCAGCCAGCATGTTTACAACAAATCAAACTGAACAACGTAATTCTCTAAGAAAACATTTCTCATTATTTGGTTATGAACATATACAAATGAATGTGGGAAACCTTACCCAAAACGATAAAGGACTAATTTAATGCTATTCCATGAGAAAAACATGGTTCTGTCTTTTACTGTGTATGTAAAAATCTGGTTTCAGTTCTATTATCTATTATTTTATTTTCACCTTTATTTAACCAGATGAATCCCACTGAGATTATACTGTAGATGTCTTTAGTAAGGGAGGCCTGGGCCAGAAGGCAACCTAACAGTCATGTTTTTGGTCTGTGGGAAGAAACAAGAGTACCCAGAGAAAGTCCATGCAAGCTTGAGGAGAACGTGGAATCATGGAAAAGACCCTGGATCTGAACTAAGACCTACTTGCTGTGATGCATCAGTGCTAACTGAGCCACCGTGCTGCCTCTGAGAGTTGAACTAAAGAGAACACACTGTGACAAGGTGTGATTTCAAATGTCACACTTTTTGTTTAAAAGCTAATAAATATATCAGAGCTAAAACTGCTGCCCTCATTTCTGCACTTTAACATATAAATAACCTTCTTCCATTGAAACCGTTAGTATAAATGTAGCCATTCCTTCACAACAATCAGCTCTGTTTTATGAAGCAGAGTGTTGTGTGTACAATGTGAACTCTGACAGGGGCAAACATTAAAAGAAGTCCTGCATGCTGCTATCATATGTCACTGGAGTGGCAAAACGAGAAGGCTCAAAGGGGAGGGGGTGGGTTGAGAATGCTTTGGCACGGCGGGTCGGTTTCTTTAAAAAGAGCATGAGCTCTGCTTCTGTCGACCACACCATCCTGTGTGTGATTGTGATGGTCCACAGGTTGCTGGTTTGAAGGGTTTCAAAGAATGGAAGGCATGAGACGCCACAGGTGTGACAGCACAGGTGAGCTCAGCGTTAAACTCACTCTGCAGAGAGCATGCCATAACACTGTTTATCTGTTTAACACCAGGAAGAGTCAGGCCGGCATGGCACACTGCAACACAGCCAAAAATAGATGTGCCCTGTCACGCTTCACTAGCCACAGGGACGTTTTCTGTGCTTTCTAAATGTATTTCTAGATATACTAAATATACTGCAAATAGCTGTTAAAACAATTAAGAGGAAGAGAAAATAAGAGAGATCCTGCTAATTGATGAACACAAGTAAAGCTTCTCTACATTGTTTACAGGTAATAAATGCTTTGAGACTGTGGAGGGACTTATCAGACTGCTACATGCTCAGGCATCTTAAAGAATACAAGAGAAAAAAATGTGCCAGTGCTGCTTTGTTGTATTTGTTAGAATTCCCTCTTTTCAAAACTCGTTTATGTTTTAATGTGCTTGTTATCATGTAAGAGGGGATGTGGGCAGAAGAGAAGAAGCTTGCATGGCCTTTCCTTCTGATAGAGCATGCTGAACTCCTGGCAGGACCAAAAGGAAAGCAGCTTTGCAGGTCCTTCTGTCCAAATGGTTTGGTTTGTACCAGAACAGAAAACACTGGCTGTCACCATCCAGAACTGCACACAGAGGGTGTCTGTTGGACTTCACACAGCCAAAAACTTGGAACATGATGATCTCTATGTGAAGTTTCTTGGAAGACAGAACCTGGAAGTGAATCTGATCTCATTCTCAAACTGACCACCTCCAGTTAGAAGTCAGAAAACCATACACAGACTCCAGATGTTTTATCAGTTCCAGATAAATCTGGTAGCATTGTAAGGTTATAAAGGTTCATTTTATCATTCTACAATTTTACTTTTACGTGAGTTTTTCTTTTGGAAAATTAGAAACTCTGAAAACAACAATCTTCATCGAAGACAAAGGAGCTTGTGGTGGATTGTAGTAAAAATGTGTTAAAGCCCAGTTCTGTTCATAGAAAAGAGGTTCGAAATGTGAATTCTTACAAATATCTATGAACTATTTTATTCCAAACTAAAATTCAATGTGAACACTGACAAGGTCAGAATTCACTTTGTGAGGAAGTGAATTTTAACATCTGTAAGTGTCAGGACCTGCAGTCCTTGTGGGAGAAGCAGCAGCTTCTAAGGAAATCGTATCTAATCAGGAATATTCTGTCCTCTGAGTTTATATTGATGCCCTCAGGCTGCTGCTTCACGGCACCACGCAGGAACACAAACAGGTTGAGCTTCTTAATCTGATGGTGGCACACAGCTGTGACTGGGTGAATTTTGATGCTGAGCTCTGTTGGTTTGTTGTTGAACAGTTTGTTTCCTCTCTTTTTCATGAAAAGAAAGGAGAGTCAGGTGGAGCTTCAGGGTGTGAGGTCAGCTTTATATTAGATCCAGAAAGAACAGCTGAGGACTGATGTCAAGTTCATTTTTTCATTATTTCAACACTTACTGTAAGTGTTGGGTTATGCTTTGATAGCACACGAGATGTACAGTATACATCTGCTAATCAGTTGTTTAAATATCTGTATGATAAAAACCTTTATCTTCTGTAAGTCTCCTGCTGGTGCTGTACATTACATGTAGTGTTCTCTGTTGTAAACATGATGATGTCATCCAGGGACATCAGAGGCAGGAGCAGACCAACAAGTAAGAGAGGAACACAGAATAGATATTTTATATTAGAACATCTTGTGATGGCAGTAATATTACTAAATATTGCAATGATGATATCAGGTGTGAATTAAGTTTTTTTCTCTTTTCTTTCTTTCTAATCTGTACTTCCTGCTCTGAGACTTTTAGTATTTTTGGTAGTCATTTGTGTCTGCTGTGAACCTTTGTTGCTTTGAGGCTCTGTCCTACAGGATTACTGCACTCCAAGCAGTCCTTTGTGATATAAATATTGTGCACAGTAATGATATTTTCACAATATTGTAACGATAGGTGGTTTTAACCAGAAGTGCAGGCAGACTCCATGACTTGAGTGCAAAACAAAACTGATTTATTAAATAACAAAACAATAAGGCTGATGTGGCAACAAAGAACTAACAAAAAATAACAAGAACAAGGCTTGAGGCATGATAAGAGCAGTGGGCCTCATGCAAGAACATGTTCGTATTCTTCTCCTAAATTTCTCTTACTTTTTTTCGTACAAAGGGTTCGTACGAACATGTCACGTCAGATTCAACAAACTCTTCTATCTTCAGGAAAAGTGTGTAAATGAATTACACCTGTTCTATCCAGCTGCTCGTGCACGCGAGAGGAGATTAGCATAATTACCACCCCAAAAACACCATATAAGGCTATGTTTCCTGCCTCAGATACAAGGAAGTGTCCATTCATTCATGAAAATTACAGCGAAAACTAAAAAGAACTTTACGAGTTCAGAGATTGAAGTCCGTCTGTCAGAGATCCAGAAAAGAAAATCTGTCATTTTTAGCAGGTCAGCTGTGGAATAAAAAGAGCTGCTAAAAGTATAAACAACTGTGTTATCATTTTCATTTATTCAGAAGCTGCAGCGCTGCGCATCGTGCGCCTCCGTGCCCCCCGCGCGCTGCGGTGGTCTCAGATGCGGGTTTGAAATAAGCATTTTAAAATGTTTTCAAAATAAGTCTGGCACTTTGGAGAAAACCCAGGACTCGAATGTGTACCTCCTCTGGTCTGGGAACGTCTCAGAGTCCCCCAAGACGAGCTGGAAAGTGTCGTTGCGGAGAGAGCGGGGTCTCTCCTGCTGCCCCCCTGTCGCACCTGATAGCGGATAAGCCGGCCGGACGGACAATTTATATTGTTAGTCTAAATTATTACATTTAAAATTATAACTCTAATTCAAGCAGAATAGCCTATTGTCAACATAATTATGGAGTGTGATTTATTTTCAACTCAAAATATCTTCAAACTAACGAAATCTAAAGTTATTAGTGAAGAAAACCCGTCTGGATAACAGCAGACTGACTGCTGGTAAAATATACGACAGGTCTGGACCACTCGTAAATTTTGTTCGTATCTGAAAAAAATCTTAGAATATGAAAACATTGGTGAATGTCACAAATTCTCCTAAATAACTCGTACGCACAACTTAAGAACAAATCTGTGCGTACGAACGGTTCTTGCATGAGGCCCAATGATCCAACGGGGCAATGAAGACATGACACTGCTTAAATACAACTCAGGATGACTGGAAGTGGAAGCACCTGCTTGATTACAGACTATAGACAGGTGAGAGTGGCAGGCTGGAAAAACACCTAGAAGCTACTGAGGATAGCATGACACAGGAAATGAAGAAAACTAACAGGAAATGAGAAAATATGACATAAGATGACCAAACAACGAAACAGAAGAATTCTAACATAATTACCCATAAAAAGCAAGAATCATGACAAGTATACAGAATTGTGAAGCTCTATTAAAGCCTTATTGTTGTTGGTTTGTCCACAACACTATTTTTCCAAGAAATATTTGAAAAAAGAAGAAAATAAAATGTCCTGATGCATCTCAGTAATCCAGGTAGAAAAAATCAAAAAGAAAATAAGTAGGTCCTCTGGATGGGTTCTTCTTTAGTGAAACGTTTCTCTTGGAGAAGAGACAAAATGTTTCACTGAAGAAGAACCCATCCAGAGGACCTACAGATTTTTTTCTTTTTGAAGAAAATAAAAGATCAAATAGTGTTTTGTGAATGTTTAGCAGTATAATTACTTTTAGCCTGGTTAAAACCAGACCCTGTCCTTCACTTTGCTTCATGCAGAGGATCTGGACTCTTGGCTATAGAGAAGCGATTCTTTCTGGAGGCGTGGCCTCTGCTGAAGGTTAAAATCTTTGGATCAGTTGGCCGCAACGTATGTGTGCCAGCTCCACTATGAAGGAGGCTAAGCTAAGAAGCCAACAGGAAATCTCGTGTGCTGTAAACAACCCTACTGAGAGGAGAAACATACCGAACCGAACGAGACGACTGTAAATGAGAGCTGCTGCTTTGTCAGATAAATTTATTTTAATTTGAAGCCTTATCAACACAGACTGGCTTCATTCACTTCCTCCACTGCTGTATGCTAAAATAACTAGCAGACACTGTTCAGAAAATCAACGTCATTCAAAACTCCTCCTTCTGTTCTCTGATTGGCCCAGGTAAAATAAACTACTAGCAGATACTGCACAGAAAATTAGATTAGATTGGACCTTTATGTCATTGTACAGAGCACAATGAAATGACAGTTCAGAACAGCCATTAAGAAGAAGACAGACCATAACAAGCATTGGAGAACAGGTGCTCTGGGTCATACAGCCATTGACCCTGCACAGAGCAAGGATCATCTTCATGAAGACAACACGAGGAGGTGCTACCCTTAACAGAAAAACTAAAAACCACACAAGGGAAGATGAGGCAAATAAACTAAAACATCACATTATATCAACAATATGACACACTGTGGTGTTTATAAAAACCTTCTGCATATAGCAGATTTATTATCCAGAGGAGTCAGTGAGTTTAGGGGGGCCCAAAAAATCCAGTCCCCTAAACCTGTGCAGCCATACTCCAGAATATTGATGGTAAACTGTTCATTCTGTGAGACCCTCAGCTTGCTTAGGAAACCAGATCACAGATGGGTGTGAGAGGGAGGAGGTGTGGGTCAGAGCGTCAGTCGACGTAACCCAAACTGGAAGAATTTAGTCAACAGCTCAAGGCCATGTAGGAGAGATCCAGATTCTGTAATCAGTTGTTTTGGGAACAGGAGTCAGGCAGACGATAACAATTTTCCATCTGCTTTAATGACCGTTGGAATAACCCAATGTTGTGAATCCAATCAGACAAATAATGTGGACAATCCTGCTGAGCCGAATCTATCAGCTTCTCCAAGATCAATTCCACCTGGCCAGCAAAGTCCAGGAACCACAGCCGGCCCGCGACCCTCAATAGAACCTCTTGCAGACCGAGTCCAGCTCGCTCAAGGCAAAATGTCAGTGCTGATAGAATACGGCCATCCATCATATTGGTCAGTCAGCC